GTGTCCATGTGTGTGCGTGTGTGTCCATGTGTGTGCGTGTGTGTCCATGTGTGTGCGTGTGTGTCCATGTGTGTGCGTGTGTGTTCTCTTCAGGCGCTAGAGATCCGGGGAGGCAGTGTCTGTTATCAGCCTGCTGCTGTCAGCTCCTGAGAGGAGCCTCTTTTTAGAACTACAATCCCCCAACAAGCCAATTAGCAGACAGGAGCAGGGGGTCCCAAGGCTACTTTTGTTCCACTGATGGTTGAGGTTAAAAAAAGAGAGAGAGAGAGAGAGAGAGAGAGAGAGAGAAATATTCTCCCTGATGAAAACATTCCTGACTAATGGAATTTGCTCAGCTTGTACTTTCCGCTCTTTTAGGGGGCCGGAGCACCTGAGCGTGGCCTGGGCCTGTCAGCCCACCCGGTACCCGTCTGCCCCTGACACTCACATGTGGATTTCCTTCATCACAGACTTTGCAAACACATAGACATAGCTATGCATCTTCATCCATAGCACTTGTTTGTCTAAGACGAGCTCTGGGGAAAGCGTGGGGCAAACCCAGCTTGGCAATGTTTTATAGTGCGGAGGAGATGCTAAGGAAGTTTGGTGCAAACTTGCAAACTCAATGAAAAGAGCCAGGAGGAGAATGGACCCCACAAACCATGACGTCACAGGGCCACTTACACTGTCCTTTCATCTCTGTGATGGTCCCTTGCAAATGCAGGAGGCTAGTTCTACTATATTACACTAAATCTTTGTCAATGTACGTTTAACCTGGACATCAGCAGTACAGCAGTCTCCTTGAACTATTAACTATACAAATAATGTGTAATTAATCAACATGCCATAGCGATCCACTATTTCAGGTTAAGCTGAATGTACTGTAATGGAGCCCCGCCGTCTTTAAAAGGTGAACATGAGACTTAAATCATCACAGCTATTGTAACGGAGCACCTGCGGATTTCATCTGATTTTAGCGATTGTCGCCCATCAGTTGAAAATGGCTCTCAGCGCTGCAGCCATTTTGGCGAAGAAGAACGTCAGTGTTTTTTCCATTTTGATAGACGTGCGTGTGTTATGTAAGATGCGCTCACCTAGACAGGACAGTTTGGTGCCCGTGTAGTTGGATCAGTTTAACTGAAGCAGTGAACAGCGGGCCAGCAGAGGGGCCATCAGGCGTGACTCACTCACAGCAATGAGCATGTCGATGGTCGGGGATTCCTGGGCACACTCTCTACTAAAATACAGCCAAGTTGCCGAAGATGAAGAACATTACGTCACTGCCGAAGGCTCTACAGATCCATAATTCACCATCAGGTCTTTCCCAGTTCCTGCAATGATGAAACGTTATGAGGTGAACAGTGTAATAATTGGCATAACGAGCAACATCCACACATATATGCTGTTTATATATTGAACTGTTTCTCATTCATAAAGTGCGAGCTTATCTAGGAACAAAAAAATGAAGGCATTCATTTTCAATTCATTAGTTTACATTTTAGTGTGATGCTTTAAACTTCATACTGAACATAGAAATACATTTTGGTTTTGGCTGTTGAATACCTGGTTACACACTTTGCTGAAGAAAA